TACACACTACACAGCTATTTGGATAAATGTGATAGTCTCCAAGTTCTAAATTCTTTCATTAAAAATATTCTTGTTAAGTTCTGTTTTGTTTTGGTCTAGATGTTCTTTCTCAACATTCTGAAAAATCTTATACTAAAATAATAACATTTCGGTTAATTAGACAAATTCGCAGAAATTTCAATAGTTTCTGTTGTGTACGTACCCATTGTTCTAATTTGAGTGCACTACTTCAATGTTTGTATTCTAAAATACACGTGAAATTAAACATTGTTATAGAAATTGCATCAGAAGCAGTAAATAAGTCTTTATTTTGTTCGTCTGGTTTATTTAACATTTTTAGATATGTATATTTTATTAGATGTCAAAGTTTGTTGTTTCCTTTTATTTGTACGTCGACTCGTTGTTTTAATATTTATTTTTCAGGAGAATTTGAAGAAAACAATTCAAAGTACCACTCTGCCGACTCGCTACTTTAGGGTAGGTGTCCCCCCCCCCCCATCCCCCATCGATTCGCCCCTGAGTGGTACACTTTCTCGCATTTGTCACGAGCATCCCCGGCAACCGTTCCCGGTTTTAGCCGGCCGAATAAAAACCGAGTTCCGCTTAAATCCTCCCGATCGCATTCCGGGATTCCGGGGCGTCGGCTCCGGCCAGGCAGCTTCAATTAGCTTTTTAACTCTTAGAAGTCGGGAGGTTTAAACAGTGCTCGAAAAAGTTAATTGAATCAATTCGGAGTTTTCCACGGAGCGATTGCTTTAATGAAGGAAGTAGCTCGGACGACAAACGCGATTCCACCGGAGCTAATTTCTATGCAACAAGTTACGAGCGGCGACAGGCCATAGCTACACATTAGCTCGACTAGCGGTCGGCTTTTTGCTCCCTTTTTCCCTAATTGAACTCTCCGTCGACCGCTTTGTCGTCTATGATGTATTGCGGAACCCTTTGTCGAGCTATTGATATGCACCGCAAGTACGGCGCTGTGCGTGTTCTACAAATGGTGTGGAAGGAAGGACCACAGCGTGGCGGCGGTGATGGCGGCAAGTGGTGGCACAACATCATCACAGACAGCGACCAGACGTCTCTTCAAGTCAATGACCGTTTGCAGTACAGCGACACCGAGGATGTCCGCGCAACCACCGGTTAATCTCCCGGATTGACAAAGCATCAAAGGCAGGTTACTTCTTCGGACGCGGCGAGGGAGCTGCGGAACGTAATTTCCGTTCGGCGCAGATCGTTCATCAATTTGGAAAAAACGCCCGGATTAAGTCGGGGCCTTGCGTAGCGCCACGGAAAAAAGTGCATACGTTTGTACAGCGAAAGGATTAATGTCTGCGGCCGTAAAATATGAACTGACACTGGCTAATAACACGCAATTTGTTCATTTCAGTGTTTCGCGGATAAATGTGACCACTAGAGAGCGGATTTATAAGCACAAAAAAATTAAAAATAAGTGCAACATTTTCAATAAAAATGTTTTATTTTAAGCAAAAAAGCATTAAAAACATAATCATATTACAAATCAAAGAACACTTCTTGGAACTTTGGATAAAATATTATTACAATAATCCTAGACTTTATATTTTACACACGTATTTCAGTTTTCTTTAAAACAATTTATGATTGTAATGTGTTCCAAGTTGTCCACTGTAAAATTTTTTCGCCGATCATTTAAAATGTGTTTAAAATTGGAGAATGTGCGTTCAACATCCACACTCATTGTTGGCGCAAATTTGAATTTTGCAACTAATGTTGAATCTAACTCCAAATTTTCCACCTTCTGGCCTTGTAGAACACGAGCAACGTCGGAAAGAACACCGAAACCTGCATTTTTATTTAACACTTCGTCAAGTTTTTGAGATACTCTAGTACCATATCACCCCTTACTGCGTTTGCTTGTTGTTTAAATTCTTTCACTAAGTTTATGGCATCTACCAACAACATGTTGGGTTTTTCTAACTTTTCTATTACTGCACATACGAATTGATAATTGCTTCTTAGAAAAGCTAGATCTTGTCTTTTCCAAAATATTGATGCAATCTTTAATCGATTGAGAAGAATCTTCGCTAAACTCCGTAACTACTTCCTCATTTGTCATAATATATTTTGAATTACCTAATGAAGCAAAACGAATTTATTTTTGAGGAAGGTAATGATTATAATTTAATAAAATTCTATCCAATTAAGAATAGTGAACATAATAGGTACCAGGCGATAATTGAAGTCGACATACCCACTTACAAAAGGGCGGTCAGTGTTGGTCCCTGCTTAATCGGGCTTGATAGTTGCTCGATATACTGCGGACTAGACGTTTCACGCTGTTTTAATTGTAATGGGTTTTAATCACTCCTCTAAAGCCTGTAAGAGCAAGTTAAAAGTCATGGTCTAAAAGAGTGTAAGGCTGAAACTCTCAATTGCATAAACTGTCTTAATCTGAAATCCACCGGTAAATTTGAGGACATTAAGGTTGATCATGCTACCTGGGATCATAATAGCTGCCATGCTCATATCTTAGCTATTAACAAACTTAAAAGTGACCTTTTTGGCGTCTAAATATAGCAACCAACTTTGTTTGTGATCTCTGAGTCTTCTGACTCTCATGAATCCCATTTAAATTCTGGTGGTGATGTAATTAATTCTTCTTATGCTGCTTCTCTTTCTACAAATAATTATATTACGAGTCTCGTTCTTCGAGATTACATCGTAGTACCGCTACTTTGACTAGATCCAACCACAAGCTTTAGAGAATAAATTTAAAATTTCGGCTTCCCGCCGCCTGCTCCTACGCCGCACCCTAGCGGCTAATCGTCGTAACGTTTTTTGTGCTAGAATAAACCACATGTTGAGGATTTAATTCTATCAAGAAATTAATTGTTTATTCAAGAATTATTGTCCTTTATTGTCTTTCGGACGAATATTACACATGGGGAAAAAACGCAGCAGAGAAAGAGATGAGGAGAGCAAGTGCGAGAAGCAGATTAAGAGGTTAGAAAGAGTGGTGCAGTGTCTGACGGACACATTTATAAAATCACTCGATAAAGGTAAATTAAATTATATTATTAGAAATTATCTAAAAAATAACACGACGTCAGGACTCTATAGGATGAGACCTTGACGGGTGTCCAGGCTGGTGAATTTTGCACGTAGGAGGCAATAACAACCAGTGCATTAAATTTTCATCTGGCATTAGGGGAAAAATTAAGTAATTATTTTTCCTTGCAGATGGAAATCAGGTTGACCCTGGTAATGAAAATGAATCCGTCAATCCCCTAGTCGGGGATCCCGGGTTTAAAGAGTCAGTCAGGTGTACCTCGGACTCACACAAGATCCTCGAGGAGATCGCGCAGATGCAGGCTGAGGAAGAGGGCCTAGTAGTAAAGGATGATGCCCAGTCTACTGATTCAGCTGAGTCTAAGAAGTTAGATAACGAGGTGGAACTGCTTCTAGGAGATGATCCAGGGGCTAAGAAAAAAGATCAAATAGAGCTGCATGAGAGCTTGGTGTCGCGTTGGGCATCTTGGCTGTCTGACGGATTGCCGAAAGAGATTAAAGTCCAAGTAGTGGACAAATATCCTCAAAAGGGGAATATTTCTCTCGAGGCCCCAGAATTAAATGAAGAAATAGCAGCTACTCTGAACGAAACGGGTGCCAAGAGGGATCAGCTATTTACCCAAGAACAGAACTTAGCTGGTTCAGCCTTATCAGCATTAGGACAAGGCATCACGATGATTTTAAAAGATGAGGAAGAACCCCTAGATCGTCTGGACTTACTAGAAAAATTAGCGGATGCAGGAAAACTAATTACGCAGCTACATTTCCAGGTCTCTTCAGCTAGAAGAGCGTTTATCTCTCCAATATTAACCAAGTCAATGAAAAATCTGTTACAGACGACCAAGCCTGGGTCTCTGTTGTTTGGAGAGAAGCTAACTGAAAAGATAAAAACTGCAAAGTCAATGGAGAAGATCGGCAAAGAGATTAAAGCCTCTTCTCTTCCATCGACCTCTGGTACTAGCAAGAAACCAAGCAAGCCAGCCCCTAGACGCACTTTAAACTGGCGGGGCCCGTATGCGAGTCAGGGGAACTTGTATTAGGGCCCAAAACAGTATCAGACGAAATTCCCCCCATCTCAGCCGGTCAGCAAGAGTACATACAGCAATGTCTCGAAGTCAACCAGCAAGCCGCGGCCACTGAGGGATGCAAAGAAATAAATAATAAGGTGAGATTAGTAGCAGGACGAGTCAGTCAGTTCCTTTCGCAATGGGAAAAAATCACCAGGGATCCCTTTGTCCTGAATTGTGTGAAAGGGTATGAAATTCCCCTTCTTGAAGGACCACCACGGTCCCTGAGCTTTAATAAAGAATTGCATTTTTCGTCAGAAGACGAAAAACTGTTAGAATACGAAATAACAAAACTGGTAGCTATGGGGGCAATAATGAGATGCGAAGCTGTAGAAGACCAATTTTTATCACCGTTTTTTCTAGTGCCAAAGCCAGATGGCTCTAAGAGATTCATACTAAACCTTAAATGTTTAAATCAATTTATAAAGACCAGTCATTTTAAGATCGAGGATATGAGGGTAGCCTTGAAATTAATTTATAAAAATTATTTTCTATGCAGTTTATACTTGAAAGATGCATATTTCTTGGGAAAAATTGGTCGGGGTAGTCGAAAATTTTTAAGATTTAAATTCAAGGGTCAAATATTTGAATTTCAATGCTTGCCCTTTGGACTTTGTACAAGTCCGTATGTATTTACAAAGTTACTAAAGCCAGTCCTGAACTTTCTTAGAGAAAGGGGATGGTTATCGACAGCGTACATAGATGATACGCTTTGCATCGGCAAATCTCGGGCCGTGTGCAAGAAAAACGTAGCAGTCACGAGGAAAACTCTAACGGAGCTTGGGTTCATTATAAATGAACCTGTCCTTACCCGAGGAGAAAAAGTATAGGTTAATTAAAACAATTCGAGAAATTTTAAGCAGAGATTCTTGTTTTATTCGCGAAATGGCGGGTCTAATTGGTGGATTGGTTGCAGCATGCCCAGGCGTACCGTATGGGATGCTGTATACCAAAATGTTGGAAAGAGAAAAAATGAAGGCGCTAATCCTAAACGATCAAAACTTTGATCGAAGGATGATCATTCATTCATATGTAAAGAAAGATCTGGAGTGGTGGCTGAAGAATATTCCAGTAGCAAAGAATCCGATTAGGTCATTAAATTATAGGTTAGAGATTTTCTCGGATGCATCGCTCACAGGGTGGGGTGCGCACTGCAACGGAGAAAATACTCACGGATTTTGGTCTCAGGAGGAGAAGAGGTTACATATAAACCAGCTGGAGATTATAGCAGCGTTTTTGGCGCTTAAGTGCTTTGCTAGGGAAGTCCAAAATTGCGAAATTTTACATAGAATTGACAATACTACGGCGATTTCGTATATCAATCGTATGGGGGGTGTACAATACGTAGAACTCAATCAAAGGGCTAAAGATATTTGGACTTGGTGTGAGAAAAGAAGAATCTGGATCTTTGCTTCCTACATCCCCTCGCGGGAAAACACAGACGCAGACAGGGAATCTAGAAGAGTCAATGTAGATACTGAATGGGAATTAGGAGCCCCCTTCTTTCAGACCATAGTAGAAAGGTGGGGGTTTCCAGAAATAGACTTGTTCGCATCAAGGAGTAATGCTAAAACCGAGGTGTTCTGCTCCTGGAAACGAGACCCAGAAGCTCGGTACATTGACGCTTTTACAGTTAATTGGAGTAAATACCTTTTTTATGCATTCCCTCCCTTCGCGATGGTTGCTAAGGTGCTACAAAAAATCAATTCAGATAAAGCTCAGGGAATAGTGGTGGTCCCTCACTGGCCTACCCAGCCTTGGTTTCCCTTATTTAAATCAATGCTATTAGAAGAACCGTTGTATTTTTCGCCCTCACCTAAGCTTCTGTTATCTCCTTGCAGGTCTCTAATTCACCCGTTAGCGGATCATCTTTCCCTGGTTGCTGGGAGGCTCTCCGGCGATCGTATCAACAGAAACTAGTGCCAGCAGAAGCAGTAGAGATTCTAATCTCTTCACTAACGGATTCTACTCTGAAACAATACAACACAGCCCTTAAAAACTGGTGGAGTTACTGCCAGAGTGAAAAGAGAGACCCCCTACAACCAGATATTTACCTAGTTTTAAAATACTTAACATTTAGATTCAATCACGAGGCATCATACGGCACACTTAATTCAGAGAGATCAGCGATTAATCTGATAAGCACGATAGACTTGGGTAGTGATCCTGCAATTAGTCGTTTTTTTAAGGGAGTCTTTAAAAACAGACCACCGAAGCCTAAATATGACACCACCTGGAACACAGAGGCAGTTCTAAACTGGGCAGAAGCACTGGGACCGTTGAAAGTCCTGGACCTAAAATCTCTCACCTTTAAGTTGGTATCTTTATTAGCCTTAGCTACAGCCCATAGGGTTCAGACAATGTCCCTAATCAAAATAAGTGACATGACAATTTCGAAGAGCAATGTTATCATAAAGATATCGGAGCAAATTAAAACATCTAGAGTCGGAGTTGCACAACCCTCGTTCAGTCTACCATTTTTTAAAGAGCGAAAGGGCGCTTGCGTCGCCAGGGTGTTGTTGAAATACATAAAAACAACCAAAGTTCTAAGAGGGAAGGAAGACTACCTGTTCATTACATTTAAGAGGCCCTACCATAGGGCAACTGCGCAATCAATAAGCCTCTGGATAAGGTGCTGTCTCGTGGAAGCCGGAATAGATCCCAAATACACTGCTCACAGCACGAGACACGCGCCACGTCTCCTGCAGAGGCGAGAGGTTTAGATGTAAACATCATAAAGAGTACAGCTGGATGGTCAGCCAGCTCACAGGTGTTCGCAAAGTTCTACAAACCCCTGATAGAACCAAGAAAAGAATCGTATGTAGAGGTGTTATTCAATCAACAGGGTGAATAAGTCTAAAATAAGTTTAAGTAAGTCTTAAATTAAGTTTGGCTTGAATAATGTTATTATGGCATTAAGCTCTGTAACAGGTATTAAGGAATAAAGACTAAGTTGGTTTGCTCTCTTGTAATCTCGAAGAACGAGACTCGTAATATAATTAAAAATCAAACGAACTTACCTTAAGTGATGTTCGATTATAATTATATAGAGTCTCGTTCGGGATGATTACATCCCTCCCAAAATTTTTGTCCTGAAAAATGTTTCTCCCACCCCTAAAGTTGAGAGTTTGGTTACACCTTAATTACATAATTTTGGAAGGAGCTTTAAACTGTATGACGATTAGCCGCTAGGGTGCGGCGTAGGAGCAGGCGGCGGGAAGCCGAAATTTTAAATTTATTCTCTAAAGCTTGTGGTTGGATCTAGTCAAAGTAGCGGTACTACGATGTAATCATCTCGAACGAGACTCTTATATAATTATAATCGAACATCACTTAAGGTAAGTTCGTTTGATTTTTAATTTTTCTTTCAACTCTATGCCGCATTCTTTATCCATTTATTATCAAAACACTCGTGGTATCAATTCAAAATTAAATGATCTCTATAATTCTTTACTATCTTGTGGTTTTGATATCATATGTCTTTCGGAAACGTGGCTTAATGACTCGGTTAGCAATTCTGAGTTCTGCCCTTTGATTTTCAATGTTCTTAGATCTGACAGAAGGTTTCACAAACTGAATCTTACTAGAGGCGGTGGAGTATTAATTGCATTCCGACAACACGTTTCGATATCTAAAATAGACTTATCTTCCCACGGTTTTGACAAACTGAACTCGGTTGACATTATCGGTGCTAAATGTATCTATGACTATTCTTCCTTCTATATTTTTGTAATATATGTTCAACCAAAAACTGCCATTGAAGAACTCTCATTATTATTCAATTTATTAAGTGATCTAATTCAGCTACATGATCATCATATTTTAATTATTGGGGATTTTAATATACCAGAATATCACATAAACTTAGGAGACGTCGTTATTGGTAATAACAAACTATCTGTCTTAATTTCATTTCTAAATTTTCTCGGCCTTAAACAGTGCAACGGCGTCGCCAACATCAATGGTAGATACTTAGACTTAGTGCTCTCAAACATACAGTGTTATATCGATAAAGCGGAAGATTATCTACTACCTGAAGATACACACCACCCCTCACTGCTTATTTCTTTGGAATTTCATCAACCAAAAGTAAAGGTTATAAGTAACTCTAAATCTTCACAAAAACGCTGGAATTTTCGTAGAGCTGACTTTCCAAATTTATATCGTCATTTAGATGAGATAAGTTGGTCTTTCTTGGAGAACGTTAAAGATGTTAATACTGCTTGCTGTCTCTTTTATAACAAACTTAATAGCATATTGGATCTTTATGTACCCAAATCTCAGCATTATTGTAATAATTCGTTTCCACCATGGTTCACTTGTAGTATTATTAGAAAAATCAAGCGAAAATGGAGACCATGGCGTAAATATAAATCCCACAAAAACCAACTAAATCTACAGCATTTTAAGACTATTCGTAACGAGCTTAAACATGACATCAAAATCGCGTATCAGTTGTATACTCAAAATCTGGAAGCCACTATTAAGGCCGATCCAAGAAAATTCTGGGCGCATATTTGTCGTCTGAAAATGCGTTCTGGTATACCTTCTGAAATGATTTATTTGGATAATATTTTGCGTAATCCCAAAGACATTGTAAATGCCTTTATGGAACACTTTCACTCCAGTTATTCGGATTTTAGTCCAAGTTCTATTGATGAGTCCAGCAATAATTCCATTAATTTTATTTCGGTTACGGAATCCAACGTCTTTGAAACCTTGATGACTATCAAACCTAATATGACTAGTGGCCATGATAATATACCAGGTTTTTTATTACCTGACTGTGCCTCAGTGTTTTCTTATCCTTTATGAGTTATATTTAATATTATTTTGAAAACTGCGTCGTTCCCAGACGTCTGGAAATTATCTGTGATCTCACCAATTTTTAAGAAAGGGGAGAGACATTTAATAGAGAATTACCGACCCATCTCATTGATTTGCAATTTTTCAAAAATCTTTGAGATGATTCTTCATAAATTTCTCTCATTTAATGTGCACAATTGGTTAACGGAATCCCAACATGGATTCATAAGTGGTCGTTCTACTGTAACGAATTTGAGTTGTTTCACCCAATTCGTAGCCAATAGACGACCTAAAAATCTTTCGTCATATTAATGTTGAAGACTGTCAAATTCTACAGGAAGATATTCTTCCTTTTGAAAACTGGAGTAAATCTAACATGTTACCTATAAATTTTGGCAAATGCTTCATTATGTCTCTAACAAATAAAAGTTGTAAGCTTAGTTTCAATTACACTATTAACTTGAATATCTTATCAACAGTGGATTCCTTCAGAGATCTTGGAATAATGTTTGATTCTAAACTCACGTTTTCTCTACATATTGGTAATATAATTGCTGAAGCGTTTAAATCCCTTGGGTTTATCATCAGATCGTCCAGTTCTTTCAATAACATCACTACTTTTAATACGTTATATTGTGCTTTCTTAAGATCAAAACTTGAATACGCCAGTATTGTATGGGCTCCGTCAGCTCAATTTTACATTCAATCTATAGAAAAAATACAGAGGCGTTTTCTCAAGTTATTAGCATTCAAAATAGACGCTAATTATCCTCCTAGAGGCCTACCTAAAACCTAAAGATAACGACACAAAAAATCCATCAAAATACAGACCTATCACATGTTTACCGACAATCTATAAAATATCAACCTCATGCATTACACAAAAAAATCTATCAACACTGTTTTAACTCTGACATCATTAATGAAGAACAGAAAGGATGTATTAAAGGATCCTTTGGTTGCAAAGAGCAATTAATCATAGATTCCATCATCTGTGAACAAGCTAGAAAAGAAAACCGAAACATATATACTGCTTTTATTGATTATAAGAAAGCTTACGATTCTGTCCCTCATTCCTGGCTATGCAAAATTCTGGAATTATACAAAATTGATACTAAAATCTGCACTTTTCTCAAATGTTCCATGAAATTTTGGAAGACCACCATAATATAACCTTAAATGAACAAACAATTCAGTCAGATCCAATAATGATCCGAAGAAGAATTTTTCAAGGCGATTCTCTTAGCCCGTTATGGTTCTGCTTAGCAATAAATCCCTTCTCCGATATCCTGAACAGCTGCAATTATGGGTTCAATATAAGAATTAACAAACAAAGAGAAAACAGAATAAGTCACAAAATCAGTTAACAAACCTATTAAATCTGACTGAACAGTTTTCCGGTGATATTGGTATGAGTTTTGGTATTGAGAAATGTAAGACCCAAGCAATCAGAAAAAGCGTCCAACACCAAGTACCACATATAACCCAGAATAATGAAATAATCGAAGCTCAAGCACAAAATGATACATACAAATATCTGGGTTTCTGTCAATCCTCCCACATCAATCATACCAAAACGAAACATAGTTGAAAGATCAATACCTAGCGAGATTAAAATTAATATTGAAGACACAGTTAAATGGAAAAAATTTAATGAAAGCAGTAAATACATTCTGCGTTCCACTGCTAACATATTCTTTTGGAGTCATTAAATGGTCCAAAACTGATCTTGAAAATTTAAACATCGCAACAAGGAAAATCTTCACACAGTATAGAAGGCATCATCCAAAATCGTCGATTGAAAGATTCTCATTACCAAGACAGAATGGAGGAAGGGGTTTCCAGAACCGAGAAAACTTATGTTAGAGACAAATCTCAGATTTGAAGAAGTATTTCTTGAAACGAGCGGAAAGAAATGAAATGTTTCGCACCATCACAAGAGCAGATTTGAACCACACACCCTTAAATCTGTCGAACATCTAAGAAATCCACACCCCTCACACAATAGACAAAATAATAAGTGGACAAAAACAAAAACAACTACATGGAAAATTCTACAAAGACTTAGAAGAAACTCATGTCAATAAGATGTCACTGATTTGGTTAAAAAAATCAAGTTTGTATGCCGAAACAGAAGGATTTGTGTTTGCTATTTAAGACCATCGACAGCGAACCATAAATAATTATCTCTATCTTAATTCATTATCAACGGAAGTAAGGATTTAAAGTCATAAAATCTATGGAGTATTTTTCCAATCCTATAATAAAATTTTTACCCAAACGACCGGAACCTATTCACAGAAAGGGTCTTGAGTAAGTGTACTTCAATGGTCAAGTCCAGGTAAAATGCATACGATACGATACGCCTAACTAACAAGTATTTGTCATCCCGACAAGGCGGCATTTGAACAAAATATGCATTAAAACTCATATTCGTCGAAAAAATCATTAAATAAGCATACAAGGTTTAATATGCATAAAATTGAAAAAAAAGCAAATAAGCATAAAAAACAATGTGTCAAATGACTCCAAATTGTATCATACATAGTTACAGACTTAAAAAAGTTTTGAAGTGCTTACATTTTTCACAAAAAGCATTAAACCTAGAAATGCGCTCTCTAGTGACCACTGATAAACGCCTAGATTTAATTGGGGTCTTGGCGTTAAATCTGCTGTAGCATTTCGTTTGGAAAAAATGAACAAAACGCTTCTGTGCATTCGATCCGCGGAAACGTTAGTTTTTAAAGTTCGCCTCATCCTGGCAACCTCTGTCGAAAGCCAACCGCCGCAGACTGAAGGCCTTCGAAGGTAATCCGCACAAAGCACATCTCGGCAAAACATGCCGTGCGGTTTCCAGTCGCTAAAAAACCAACAAAAGCCCTCCTCGACTCGACCAAAAGGCTTTCGCATTGTAATT